CTGTTAGCCCCAGCTTCTGCCAACCTAGAAGTTCGAAAACATTCAAATGTTAGTAGAGCAATAGGTGCCGCTTCGGCGGGAAGGTAACGGTGCTCCATACAGTCATGCTGGCCTCATGACCTCGGAGGTGTCTATGGGCAATGCCAGCTCTTCAACTTAGAAATGGAGGTGAGCACCACCCTCACCCCCCAAGAGTCAGACAAAACTAGACTTAATGTCAAAGGGAAACCTACCTATGTTAACCTTTCCCAGTGTTATCCAAAACACGCACATGCACACACACGGCTGGAGTTTATAAAAGGTATCTGTTCTGATTTACATAGAAATTAAACTTAAGAACAAACTTAAAGAACCTATCTTGTTCGCAACTTGAGGACTGTCTGTATTATGAAACATGCAGAACAGTTTAAGATCAGATCCAAAACGGTTCCACTTTAATGACTGGAAAACAGGAAATGGTAAGGAAGTGGAAACATTTGATCAGAGATGACCACAAGCCCTGTTTTCAGAGGGAATTTAAAGTTTCAACTCTCTTGTTTCAGCCATGTACAATGGGAAGTGTTCAATTTATTAATAGCTCAAAAAGACAGTGTATCTCTATGCAATTTTATACTGAATGTAAACATACACAAACTTTTGAATTCAAGAAAATGCTGATATTCTGAGACTGCTTTTTCCATCTTTTTTAACATCTTGCAACAATGGTGGCCCTCCAAATGTGTCTGAACAACAGCTTCTATAAAGCCTCATTAGTGGCTATGATGGGAAGAGTTGGTGGGATCTGGAAAGCCAGATTTGCATACCCTTATTCTACAGCAGGCGTGGACCAACTTGGGCCCTCCCTCCAGGTGTTTTGGACTTCAACTCCCACAATTCCTAACAGCCTCAGGCCTTTTCCTTTAAGCAGCTGAGGGGGAAAGGTAAAGGGCCTGAGGCTATCAGGAATTGTGGGAGTTGAAGTCCAAAACACCTGGAGGGAGGGCCCAAGTTGGCCCATGCCTGCTCTACAGTATCTAGAATATAAATTCGATTTTTAAATGTTCCTCTTCTCTTTTTCCTCCTATGCTAGCAACATCCACACAGCTGCAAACAAAAGGGAGAACCAATGGCTGTTTTGTTGCTGTGCATAAAAACCGTTTGACTTGCTCCGGAAACCCAGGGAGTACAAATAGTGGCATGCTGTAATGTTCTAATGTTAGTGAAATATTTCTATCCCACTCCATGTGTAAAGGTCTCAAAATAAGGTACAATACAACCATGTTTTCTTCCTACTAGTTAGCAACTGTTTTACAGGATTGTAAAACATCCGGATGTCCTCTGGACAACGTCCTTGCAGATGGCCAATTCTCTCACACCAGAAGCAACTTGCAGTTTCTCAAGTCACTCCTGATATGAAAAAAGGGGTTCCCAACCTTTTATTTGACCAGGGACCACTTGACCAGGGGCCACTCTCCAACATTAGTACCAAAAGGGTTATGAATGAGTTTTTGGTCAACTTTAGATTGGGTTTGGTTATTTGGGGTGCAGATTCAGAAAACTGCATTGGATAGACCACATCAGCTCTAGTTTCTGATACAGAATGTATGCCATCCAGTAGTCGCCATTTGCTCACCCACAGAAAACCATATGTAATAATCTAGAGCTGATATGGTAGTAGTAATCTTTCATGGGTAGTCAGCCTCTCCCCTCCCGACATCCCAGTTGCCTCAGCACTACAAGAAGGTTTCACAAGACCAGTCATTTTTTTTTTTTGCCGTGTGGTTTCAAGGCAACGGTGTAGTAATGGTGAGGCTGTGTACCATATTTTGGTTCTTGCGGACCACTGGTGATCCACGTCCACAAGTTGGGAACCTCTGGCTTAGAGTCATGGGCGGGAGGTCCATTTACAACGCAGTGCCCAAACATACTTGCTCCACAATGAAACTCATTCACATAGGAATGATGAACTAGGGAACAGATTTCATAGAAAACTAAAAATATGTATCAGGAGGTGGGTCCTGGTGAAGTTGTGGGACTTGCTTCCAAGCAAACACCATAAAGGTTAGGCTATGTTACTAAGCTACTGGTCTGTGTGATTTAATAATACATCGCAATAAAGCTGACACTTTCAGCTGCCAAAACACACAGTCATTGTTATTATCTTTCTCTTTCTTTGGGGAATTCTGATTCTCCTTCTGCTCCACAGCGAAGGAGAAAGCAACTAAATGCCTGCCTCTTCCCATGGCAGCAGTCTCAAAATCCAATAAATGCACTCTCTAGCTTATCACCAACTGAAGTATACCGAGACATAGAGAAAAGAAGACTTGCTCATCCTTTCCTTGCTATGTATAATGCCAATGTTCAACAAATTGGTTTCAAGATATCTCTAACCACAGCATTACAGTCTGGGGCCTTCACATTTCATTATTTTATTTAAGAGACGGATTTTAAAAAGCACAAAACAACAACAACAAAGCAAGCTCTATGAGCAGTGTGCTCAACTAAATTGAAGGCACGGGGTTTCACAGGCAGGCAGCTAAACTACAGAGAGTTAAAGTGGTGTCAAGCTGCATTAATTCTACAGCATAGATGCAGCCTTGCAAGGATGTGGCTGCAGCACACCGTCCTTATGTTTTCTACAACGGCAGTGTTTCCACCCTTGAGAAATCTAAAGCATTTCATGGCGGATATACATTTGCATCAAGCGTGCATTACAGCAACGGAAACATCATCCTATTTCATGGAGGGATACCTCCCCCTTCCCAGAGCCAATTTCCATTAGGAAAGCAACTTTGACACAGCAGCAAAGATTGTGAAGAAAATATATAATCTGCTTCAACGTGGCACACCAATGTTTCGTGCCGTTATCAGCTTTGCACCACCCAATGCTCCAGTATCTGGCTGGCAACAACGATTGCCACCGACCAATCCCTGTGCATGGAAACACTGCGGGAAGAGAGCCTCTTGAGGCCATGCCCAGCAGTGGGGAATCTGAGGGCCAGCACCAGAAACAAGGGATAGATCTACACCAAGCATGGGCAAACTTGGGCCCACTTAAGCAGCTGAGGGGGGAAAGGAAACAGGTCTGAGGCTGTTAGGAATAGTGGGAATTGGCGTCTAAAAGGGTCCCATAACACTGAGGCATAGCAGTTGAAGGTAGTGTCAGACTGCATTAATTCCACAGTGTAGATGCATCCAAGACTATGAGAAATCACTGAGGGGCTCCTTGTCTGAGTCCAAATAAGGTAAAGCACTGTAGCACAGTCCCAAGAGACCTTGAGTGCATCTAAAGCAAAGGTCAAGGTTTCCCTTTGGCATTAAGTCTAATCGAGTCTGACTCTGGGAGACGGTGCTCATCTCCATTTCTAAGCCAAAGAGCCGGCATTGTCCGTAGACGCCTCCAAAGTCATGTGCCCGGCATGACTGCATGGAGCGCTGTTACCTTCCTGCCGATGCGGTACCTATTAATCTACTCACATTTGCATGTTTTTGAACTGCTAAGTTGGCAGAAGCTGGGGCTAATAGTGGGAACTCACCCTGCTCCTGGATTTGAACCACCAAACTTTCGGTCAGCAAGTTCAGCAGCTCAGTGGTTCAAAATACAGTTTGAAATACACTGGTTTACCTATGATTTGTAGTATGTGACCCAACCTTCTCTAAATTATTTTAGGCAGAAATACAACAACACGTTCTGGCAAAATACTTGATGGAACTCTCACTGGTGGTTGGCAGAAGCTGGGGCCAACAGCTGGAGCTCACCCTGCCCCCCTGTAAAATTAATGTTTGATAGAACTTCAGCTGTTGTGGCTGAATGCTTTGGAATCCTATTACTTGTAGTTTGGTGAGGCACAAGCTCTGTTTGGCAGACAAGGCTAAGAGCTTTATAAAACTACATCTCCCTAGAGTTTGGAGATGTGTGGTGTCCGGCTGCATTAATTCTACAGTGTAGATCAGGCACGGGCAAACTTGGGCCCTCCAGATGTTTTGGACTCCAATTCCCACCATTCCTAACAGCTTTGGGCTTAAGTGGGTCAGGAGGGAAAGGAAGGGGCATCAGGAAGAACTTCATGACCATCTGAACATTAGGAAGAACCTCCTGACTGTAAGAGCTGTTCAGCAGTGGAACTCAATGCTCCGGAGTCTGGTGGAGGCCCCTTCTTTGGAAGCTTTTAAACAGAGGCTGGATGACCATCTATCGAGGGTGCTTTGAATGCAATTTTCCTGCTTCTTGGCAGGGGGTTGGCCTGGATGGCCCATGAGGTCTCTTCCAACTCAATGATTCTATGATTCTTATGGTGGGAGTTGGAGTCCAAAACACCTGGAGGAAGGCCCAAGTTTGCTCATCCATGCCTAGTGTAGAAGTAACCAATGTTATGGAATCCCAGCAGTCTTTGGCAGAGGAAGTCCACGGTTTTGTAAACAGGGCAGTTCCTAGGATTCCATAGTACTGAGCCATTAAAAGTGGCGTGGAACTACATACTACTTCATAACATTAGGGCAGTGGTCTTCAACCTGGGGTCCCCAGATGTTTTTGGCCTACAACTCCCAGAAATCCCAGCCAGTTTACCAGTTGTTAGGATTTCTGGGAGTTGAAGGCCAAAAACTTCTGGAGACCCCAGTTTGAGAACCACTGCACTAGGGAATGAATCCACTTTAAATCCGGTTTCTGCCTCCTGCAGAATTCTGGGGTTTGCAGTTTAGTGAGGCTGTTAAAGGCTCCTCCTTAAACTACAAACCCCAGATTCCTGTAAGAGGCAGCAACCGGATTTAAAGTGGATTCATTCTCTAGTGTGATGAGATCCTATATAGAGTGGAAAGAAACACTAATTGCCACGCAGCCAGGGTGGAGCTTTCCCCGTTGGGAAAGGAGGAAGAAAAGGAGAAGGAAGAGAAGAAGGGATGAGAGAAGGAGAAGCAGTAGAGGTCATGGAATGGAGAGACTTCCCTTCTTTCTCCAAGCAGTGGGGAGGAAAGACAGAGAGGAAAGACAGCAACTCTAACCCAAGCCCGTTTCTGCTCACCTGGCTGGCACAGCAGGGCGCCGACATGGTTGCGCCTGGACGCCAAACCTTTCCGTTTCAGCACCTGCGCTCAAGGCAGGAGCAGCAGAGGCAGCAAACCCACTCCTTGTGCTCCTTCGGAAGAAGATCTTCCTCCTCTTGATCCTCCTAAACGTCCACAACAACCGCCTCTCCTCCCGCTCTCTCTCTTCTCTCGTCGGAGGCGCAGCAGCAGCTGGAGCGCAAAGCTTCCGCTGTCGTCAGTTTGGCTCGGGAGGAGGATAGATAGATGCCTTTGTTTTCCGGGGCGAGGGTTTGGTTTTGGGAATCCGCCCGCCCTCCGAAGAGGAGGAGGAGGAAGGAGGGAGGGAGAGAAAGAGAGAGAGAGGAGAACGAGGCGTGGGGAGCCCCGGGCGGAGGTGAGGCCACCTGCGCCCCTTTTTCTCCCACGCTCTCCCTGTCTCCAGGAGGAGAAGGCAGCGCCAGGAAGGATTAGGCAGGAGGACGAGGGGAGGAGGCGCTTCCAGCGTGTTTGTTTACCAGCTTAGTGGACCTGGCTTTGTTGTGGCAGGAAGGGATTGGGGGGGATGGATCCTGGGTGAAAGGGCTTCTCCAAGGGTCGCTTCACGCCCCCCGTCTCTCCTCGTTTCCTTGAAACTCAGCTTGACATTTGCTTTCAAGAGCCAAGCATCTTGCCCCTTGAACAAAAGGAGGAGTTCTGCTGGATCACACAATTCCAGAGTAGGAATAGAAACATAGAATCATAGAATCAAAGAGTTGGAAGAGACCTCATGGGCCATCCAGTCCAACCCCCTGCCAAGAAGCAGGAATATTGCATTCAAAGCACCCCTGACAGATGGCCATCCAGCCTCTGTTTAAAAGCCTCCAAAGAAGGAGCCTCCACCACACTCTGGGGCAGAGAGTTCCACTGCTGAACGGCTCTCACAGTCAGGTAGTTCTTCCTCATGTTCAGATGGAATCTCCTTTCTTGTAGTTTGAAGCTATTGTTCCATTGCATCCTAGTCTCCAAGGAAGCAGAAAACAAGCCTGTTCCCTCCCCCCTGTGGCTTCCTCTCACATATTTATACATGGATGTCATATCTCCTCTCAGCCTTCTCTTCTTCAGGCTGAACATGCCCAGCTCCTTAAGCCGCTCCTCATAGGGCTTGTGCTCCAGACCCTTGATCATTTTAGTTGCCCTCCTCTGGACACATTCCAGCTCTTCAATTGTGGTCAGGCATGTAGCCGGGGGGAGGGGGCTTGGGGGGCTTCAGCCCCCCCCCCCAATTCTCATGGTGGTCCGCGAGAAGGCCTTACTGGTGCATTATTTAAACTGTTATGTTTATTCATATCATGTTCTGATCACCATGCTCAATATATCCCATATGCGTGGGGGTATTGGGGTAACAATACAAAAGGTTTGCTAGGGTAGACGCTCTTTCACTCAGACTCAGCCCCCTCCCCGAACCAAACTCAGCCCCCCCCCCCCCCCCCCCGAAACAAAATCCTGGCTACGGGCCTGATTGTGGTGCCAAGAATTGGACACAATATTCCAGGTGTGGTCTAACCAAGGCGGAATAGAGGGGTAGCATTACTTCCCTAGATCTAGACACTATGCTCCTATTGATGCAGGCCAAAATCCCATTGGCTTTTTTGCCACAACATCAAAAAAAAGCCAATGAATACCAATCCCCAGAATCATAGAGTTGGAAGAGACCTCATGGGCCATCCAGTCCAACCCCCTGCCAAGAAGCAGGAAAATGGCAATCAAAGCACTCCCGACAGATTTCCATCCAGCCTCTGCTTAAAAGCCTCCTTTAAGTATGGAAATTGGCAATAAATGATAAGCTGACATGTAAATTAAAAGTGGAAGCAAAGTGATTTTGATGATGTATGGAGAAAAATTATTGAAAAATGATTTAAAAAAGAAAAAGAAAAAGGGAAGTTACCTCCACAAGAAGAATTAAAATTTTGGACAGATGATATGTAAAAGCTGTGGCTTGGGAGTGGGGGAGGGGAGCACAGTGATGAGGGATAGATAATATGTATAAGCAGAAAAATATCAGTAGATGCCAAAAGTTAAAAGTATGGTAGGTTGTATTGAATTATATGTATCTGCTATAAAATAAACGATATATAACAAATGTATTGAACTATGATAAAATAATTAAAAATATTGTTTAAAGCCTCCAAAGAATGCATCTCCACCACACTCTGGGGCAGAGAGTTCCACCGCTGAACAGCGCTCACTGTCAGGAAGGGCAACTATCCCTAGCTCAACCCCCTGCCATGCGGGAATCACACAGTGAAAGCACTCCAGACAGATAGCCATCCAGCTTCTGCTTGAAAAGTCGCAGCCACACTCCAAGGCAGCATAAACCATCGCTGAACTGCTGTTGCCATCAGGAAGATGTGTTGTCCAGGGCTCTCATAGCCAGAACCACTGGGTTGCTGTTGGTTTTCCAGGCTGTATGGCCATGCTCCAGAAGCATTCTCTTGTTCATCTTGAGAAATACATATTATGTTTCTGTCACCATTTTATATATACCATCCTATAAGAATTACAATCTGACACTAAAGAAGGTACTGGGTTGCTGTGAGTTTTCGAGCTGCATGGCCATATTCCAGAAGCATTCTCTCCTGACGTTTCACCCCCATCTGTGGCAGGCATCCTCGGAGGTTGTGAGGTCTGTTGGAAACTAGGAAAATTGGGTTTATATATCTGTGGAATGTCCAGCGTTGGAGAAAGAACTCTTGTCTGCTTCGCCTACATCTATGCCTGCCATAGCTGCAGGTGAAACATCAGGAGAGAATGCTTCTGGGACATGGCCATAAAAGGTAAGTCTAGTCAAGTATGACTCTGGGGATTGGTATTAATCTCAATTTCTAAGATGAAGAGCCAGTGTTGTCCGTAGACGCCTCCAAGGTCATGTGGCTGGCATGACTGCAAGGAGCGCTGTTATCTTCCCACTGGAGCGGTGCCTATTGATCTCACATTTGCATGTTTGCAAATGCTAATTTGGCAGAAGCTGGGGCAAGCAGCGGGAGCTCACCCTGCTTCCCAGATTCAAACTGCCGACCTTTCAGCCAGCAAGTTCAGCAGCTCCAGAGTTTTAACATGCTGCGCCACCAGGGGGCCTAACATGGCCATACAGCCTGAAAAACTCACAGCAACCCATGAGGAAGTTGGTCTTAAAATTTTGGTGGAATCTTTTCCTGCAGCCTGGATCCATTGTTCCAGAGCAGCAGGAAACAAGTTTGCCCCCTCCTCACTGTGACATTCTTCCAAATATTTAAACATGGCTATTATATCCCCCGCTCAGTCTTTTCTCCAAGCTAAACAGACCCAGTTCCATCTGCCATTGTTTTCCAAGCCTTTGATAATTTCGGTAAACCTTCCCTAGGCATGTTGTAACTTGTCCACCCTGTTCTTGAACTGTATTGCACGGAATTGGGCACAGTATTATTCCAGAGGAGAGTGACTAAAGTAGAATGGAGTTGGACTACAGTTTCTCTTGATCTGGATCAATGGTTGCCAACCTTTTTTTATAGGTCTTTTTTTAATTTTTACTATTATTATCATTTTTACAACCTTTTTTTGACCAGAGACCACTATGACCAGGGATCACACTCCAACATTAGTACCAAAACGGTTATGAATCAGTTTATGGTCAACTTTAGATTCAGTTCAGTGATTTGGGTTGCTGATTCAGAAAATTGCATTGGATATAAATTTATTGTATATAATAAAACTAAGAATAAATATTTTTTTAAAAGAAAATTGCATTGGATAGACCACTTCAGCTCTACTTTCTGATACAGAACAAATGCCATCTAGTAGTCCCCATCAGTAGGCTGTTAGGAATTGTGGGAGTTAAAGTCCAAAACACTTGAAGGTCCGAAGTTTTCCCATGCCTGTTTTATAGTAATCTATATTTGCATAAGCTAGCACCAAATCTTTATAGATACCGAGAATTACTTCCATTTAATTATTATGGATGGAGAACCTTGTCCTCCATCACACAGAAAACAGACTTCAAATCGCTCAGTCCTGTATATTGGCCAATGCTGGGTGGGACTGATGGGAATTGAAGTCCAAAAAGAGGTGGCAGTCGAACTTGTGTATATGCTTTCAGGTCATCTACCAATTTATAGCAAGCCCATTAATTTCATTGGGTTCTCCTGGTTAAGGAATACTTAGAGGGGGCTTTGCCAATTCCTTCTTCTGAAATATAGCCTGTAGCACCTGGTATTCCTTGGTGGTCTGCTATTTGTGTATAAACAGCTGACTGGGAATCTGATGCCTTCAAGATATTTAGGCCCAGTGGTATAATTTCCATAATGTACGACAAACTCTGTTGAGGAAATTGGGCTTCATGAGGAAGACCGTGGGAAGGAACATTGCCTAATACCATATATACTCGAGTATAAGCCGACCCAAATATTTTACCACAAAAACCTGGGGAAACGTATTGACTTGATTATAAGCCAAGGGTGGGAAATGCAGCAGCTACTATTCAATTTCAAAATGAAAATAGATTCCAGTAACATTACATTAACTGAAGCATCAGTAGGTTAAATGTTTTGATTTCTTTCTTTAGAAAAGTGTGTATGCATGACCAAACACAAAGAAAAAAAAACAAATTTCAATAACAACTTCCTCCAAATATTTCCCTTACTACTCTTTGCTATCGTTCTTCTATTAATAGAGTACAACCGAAAGGGACTTTTTGTGTCATATCCTCATACTTTGGAGGGTTGCACAATTCCTAACCTCATTCAGTCAGTCTATGCTGGGCAGCCAGATCAAAAAAAAGTCCCAAACACTCCAAAACAGAGTATTTTGGCAATTCAAAAATTCAGGCCATGCAAAATTGAGAAGTGATTTGAATATGTGAAAAATTGAGTAGTCTAGACTCCTCTACAGTTGCAGCTTCCAATCAAGCATGCCCAGCTCTCCAACAGTTATAAGATCCTCAAAAATGTCCTCTGAAAGCATATCCGGAGCTAATAGGAAATGGGTATTTTCAGCAATTCAAAAACAAGTGCTATACAGTTTGTGAATGTGATCACTGGTCAAAATAGGTATTATTCATAAATATAGAAGCAAATCTCAACACTTCTATGCTGGTGTTTTCTCAGCTTTACATGGAGACAAGAGTTGCCAGGAGACTGATTTTATGTTTATTGATGTTTGATATTGCTTGTTTCTTGATGCTTATTTTAACCTTTTGTTGGGCATGTCCCTTTGTAAGCCTGCCTCCATCTCTGTCCCTTCGGGGAGATGGAGGCAGGGTATAAAAATAAAGTTATTATTATTATTATTGTTGTTGTTGTTCCTAAAACTTTAAATATCTAACAGATTGTGGAGCAAGATTAAGAACATCATTTTTGTCTCCTGAATTTGATCACCTAGTGTGTTCTAATGTGTTAATAACATACTACTTGAAAAATAATATTTCATAGTGAAGCATAATTAAGACTTTTGAAATTACTAGGCATGTAATGCAGTGCAAAGAATAATTAGAGAATATGTGTAATTGACAACTGGAATGGCTTCGATTTACGATTTTGGATCATGTGATATTAGTATTTATACAAGGATGCTTTAAAGCTTTGTCTTAATGTTTAAGTGTTGTTTGTCTTATGTTTAATGTTTTTAATTATTATTTTGTGTCAAATACATTGCAATGGTTTTAATACATAGTTACATGTTATTGTTTACTCATTTTGATTTTTATGTCGGCATTGAATTTTGCCATTAGTATGTTGTAAACTGCCTTGAGTCCCCCCGGGGGTGAGAAAGGCAGTATATAAATACAGTAAATAAATAAACATGAGACTGATGCACTGGCATGAAACCGAAATGCAAATTCTCCACATTTTGGCCTCTCTAGCACCGATAATTGGAAAATCAAATATGCATTTGTATGTAAGGCTTCTAATCTCCACAATAGAGGGCGTATTTACAATTTCCCAGTCCTGGCTGGATATTTCTAACATAAGAATTCATTCAGACTCATTGTGCACTAAGTTTCATGTATCCCATTTATCATTAAACACAAAGCCATTTTTAAACTTTTTTTCTTTTAAAAAAAATCAGTAATAAAAATACATGGTTTTCAGAAGGGAAATACTACACGTGTTTTACATAAATTTACAAATGTAAGTTTCATTTGTGTTGAGTTGATACTTCAGATCTCACACTTGGCCTTTTCAGATTTCACAGCAGCAGAAATATTTGGTATCCCTGTTTTCACAAGTGTCAAAACACCAGTTTTTTTGATAACCCTAAAAAGGAAAAGAATACATTTTAATACAAGGCAAAATGTAATAAAAATGTGTATGTCAGACCCACCCCACCCCCCAATTATTGTATTGTATCAGTCCTGCCTTTTTCTTAGGTATAGAATGTGCAGTTATAATTAGGACAAGCCATATGATTAAGAAATGTCCAATTCTGATCAAGAAATACATGTACTTTGACTCCAAGAAGTTTGACTATTTGATGAAGTGTCATTTCAAGTACTTAGTTACATGACTATTATAAGGTGTGTTAAGGTAGCAAAAAAATGGCGTATTGTCTCTGGAAAACATTTATAACAAACACTACAGCTGACAAAATAAAAAAACAACAGCTAGTCTTACAATAAACAAAATATCAAAGAAAATGCAAAGTATATAAAGAGCAGAGATTTCAGATGTTTCTAAATTCCAGGCAAGCTGCTTGAGCAAGTAATCTATCTGCCCAAGCCTCCAGAGAAGCAACAGGGCCTCTTTTTCTGAATGAGTATTATATGAATACAGCTTCAGGAAATAGAAGTATCGCTCAGCAAGTTCAGCTTGTTTGTTTAAAAATCCTTACAAGTCAGTTGTGTATATACATCAACAAGATCTGAAACTACCAAGTTGCATTACAGCTGTCAAAGCACAAGACATTGCATTTAACATCTTACAGACAACTTTAAAATAGTTTAACCTTGATCTATTCCATCCACTCTTTTCCTCTTCAAATTTGGAACTACATTTTGCTGTTCTTTCAATGCTTCTGCAGGACAATTAGGTCTTGGCAACTGGCTTCCAGGTGTTGGTGCTGGTCGATTACTAAAATAATCATGCTTCAGGGCCTTAAAAAAAGAACAAAAATAGCAATGAATCCTCAGACTCCTTTTTACAACAGCTGTGCTTAACATCCTGTGTAACCCTTGCGCCCTGACCCATTAAAAGTCAGTTAAAAGTTTTCTCTTATGAAGGGATAAGAAACAAGTGATAATGGATTAGTTCTGCATATTCTTTGTGAATCTTCTTACAGGGATGGTTGAGGTGGAGCAAAGTAGAGTTAAGATGTATGTAATTTTCAGGAAGGGGCCCCCTGGTGGCGCAGCAGGTTAAACCGCTGTGCTGCTGAACTTGCTGACCAAAAGGTCGGCAGTTCGAATCCACAGAGCAGGGTAAGCTCCCACTGTTAGCCCCAGTATCTGCCAACCTTGTAATTCAAAAACATGCCCCCCCCCCCCTCCACACTAATTCATTTCTGGTTACCAAGTTTTATTTTTCTCAACAGTGTAATTATGATAGAGAGGCACTTTGCTAAAAAGGTAACGTTTTTCCCTTGACATCAAGTCTAGTCATGTCCGAATCTGTGTGGTGGTGCTCATCTCCATTTCTAAGCCAAAGAGCTGGCAGTGTCTGTAGACGCCTCCAAGGTCATGTGGCCAGTATGACTGCATGAAGCACTGTTATCTTCCCACAGAAGCAGCACCTATTGCATGTTTTTAAACTGCTAGGCTAGCAAAAGCTTAAGCTAAAAGCGGGAGCTCACCTCGCTCCCCAGATTCAAACCGCTGACCTTTCTGTCAGCAAGCTCAGCAACTCAGCAGTTTAACCTGCTGAGCTGCTTGTTCTCCAGACCCTTGATCATTTTAGTTACCCTCCACTGAACGCATTCCAGCTTGTCAACATCTCCCTTAAACTGCGGTGCCCAGAATTGAACACATTGTGATTCCAGGTGTGGTCAGATCAAAGCAGAATAGAGGGGTAGTATGACTTCCCTGGATCTAAGACTCCTATTTATGCAGTCCAAAATCCCATTGGCGGAAAATCCCACTGGCTGGTATATTGCTCTGAATATATTATATGGACAGGAAAGAAGTAAGATAGCTTTACCACTTAGCCATTAAGCCAGAAAGCTTTATGACTTAGCCATTTTTTGTTTTAACCTTATGACAAGGAAATGAAATACCTGTGTAGCAGTCAACCTGGTAGAAGGATTAAATGTAAATAAGCCTTGCAGTAGTTCAAGCAAATCATCACTAGCAGCACTGAAAATATGATGAAGCAGCATGCCAGGAAAACTTTTAAAAGTCACATAATCGGGAAGACTGGTCATACCCTGTTGGCAGAAGAAGAAGAGAAATCAAATGAAGGAGGAGGTCAGAGGCTAAAGAATGAGAAGTACACACATTAAAGTTGTCAAAGAGTTCTTGCAAACACACATTAAAGCTAGTCCAGTAACTTACAGGCCACTGCTCCTCTGTGGGAGTACCCAGAGTTTCAAATATCTTTGTGAGCTGATCCAAGTCAGAATCTCCTGGCAAAAATGGAGCCTACAGTAAGATGAATACAGCAGCTTTCAACAAAATTAATGAAAATTATGTGCTGATTAATTCAAGAGTAATCAAAATGGAAGAGATTTTTAAAAGTTTTGGCTTCAGAATCCCTGAACATTTTTTTTCTATTAATCAACCCATGGTAATTCATTCTCAGCATTTAAATGGCTGAGAAACCTTCAGCTCTTAGCCTTTTTCATGCAGGTAGAGGAAATCCAGGAGGAGGAGGAGGAGGAAGAAGATAGGAGCGGAGGAAAGCCCTAGGACTGGAATTAATTTGAAATTATTGTAAGAGCAATGTATCCTTCTCTCAGTAGCTTGATGGGGAAGAAACAAGGTAGAAAAAGGGGAAAGGGGCATGCTCACTCATTCACAAAGACCCTATTCTTCCTGACTTAGACCCCAAGGATGGAGCAAATTTCAAAACTAAAGTGCCAAAATGTGCTACGTGGAACATATCCAAAGAAAAACGATGGAGTTGGCTTTCATCTTCTAGCTATGCCTTGGTCTTACCCTTAAAAGCAGTTCAGCCAATATGCAGCCCACTGCCCACATATCCACGCCCACACCATACATCCTGGCACCAAAGAGCAGCTCAGGAGCTCGATACCACCTGAAAAATAGAGACATGCTGCATTTATCCCTTCCATTAATGAAGCATGCACAATACTTTCTATACAGATTCTGTTTTAGTTTGTGTCTACATCAGCGGTTCTCTATCTGTGGGTCCCCAGGTGGTTTGGCCTACAACTCCCAGAAATCCAAGTCAGTTTACTAGCTGTTAGGATTTCTGGGAGTTGAAGGCCAAAACATCTGGGGACCCACAGGTTGAGAGCAACTGGTCTAGTTGTTTACATCCTGTATTGTTGATGTTGGTTATTCCTCTCCCAGATTGAGACTCAAAGCGACTTAAGTAAAAGTAAAGGTTTCCCTGACATATTCGACTCGAGAGTAGAGCTCATGTCAATTTCTAAGCTGAAGAGCTGGCACTGTCAATAGACACCTCCAAGGTCATGTGGCCAGCATGACTGCATGGAGTGCCGTTACACCTTTCTGCCAAGGCGGTCCCTTCTGATCTAGTCACATTTACGTGTTTTTGAAATGCTAAGTTGGCAGAAGCTGGGGCTTACAGCAGGAGCTCACCCTGCTCTCTGGAGTCGAACCACCAACCTTTTGGTCAGCAAGTTCAGCAGCTCAGCATTTTAACCTGCTGTGCCACCAGGGAGCCTTTTGCTGCCTTAACACACCTTATAAAGGTCACTTAAGCTCATGTAACTAAGTGCTTGAAATAGCAGTTCATCAAATAGTCAAACTTTTTGGAGCCAAAGCACATGGTTTTGCATACATGGCTTTTGGGATTTGCACAGAGCAGGATGAAGAGGTAGGGACTGGGCAGCACTTGAACTTTATATTCTCTTTACATAAGGGACATGAATATCCACATCTTTTGGTATTTGTGAAGCTATCTGTAGATGGAGGGCATATATTATTGACTAATGAATCTAAGTACAGAGGATTATTAGTATCGAGTGGCTGATACAATATGGAAGGAAGTTCGCATCACTACACAATAGAGAATCTTAGGTTCCTTTCCATACATCATTGGTGATTGGGCAAGCAGCTGAAGTTGCAGTATCTTCCAACTTACTGCCCTTCAGATATTTTGGACTGTAACTATCCCTTATTCCCTATCAACTTGCCATTGACGCCAACAGGCCATTTGGGGTCCTTGAGGAAATTTTATCTTACCTTGTAACCACTTGATGTGTATAAACTCTATTTGGACTTCCAAAAGATTTTGCTAAACCAAAGTCAGCCAGTTTCAAAACTCCATTTTCATCTAGCAGCAAGTTGTTAGGCTTGAGATCCTTATATGGAAAAAATAATACAAATATAGCTTCACTGAGAATAAATACTTTTCATGGCATAAAAAGAAACAGGCAGGATCAAAATGAATCCTTAAACCATAGGTATGGTCCACTGAAATCAGTGTATTTAAAAACAAATATGCATTGGACTACCTTGTCAGAAAGGAACTTCAACTTTAATTACTGTCTCTCCAGAATAAAAATGGAAAATTGAGAAGGGGCTGAAGGACAGCAGGGCAGTCTCCCCCATTCCTATTCTCCTAGTGAAAGCTCAGATAAAGTAAATTGTTAGCTAATATAAAACTACAATACTTCAACTGCAGCACTGTCCTAATTGTTTAACTGGCTTCACTTCAACAAAACCTTCTTTGGCTAGGAAAGGAAACAGTATAGAAGCTTTCTGGAAGGCTGTGCAGCCTGGATGAGAGGTTTAATTTGACTCAAATGTCAAAGGATCACAAAATATGTACAAAAGTGGATTTAATTTTAAATACACAAAATTTCAAATTGACAACATAACATTTTAAAATTATATGCCCGGACTGTAGTCTATTTTTTAAGATTTGCAAAGATTTTTTTCACTACGATAGAAGCTGATAACATGCATTCTTAAATATTTTTCTTAAGGCTAAGATCTCTCACTAACAAGTCTTATCATCAGGTTTTGGCCCCTAGAATTTTAATTGGGGCAATACTTTATTTGCTCAGAGGCCAGCCATTTTGTGCCTTGGCACACTTACCCGATGAAGAATCCAGTGCGCATGTAAATATTCTAAACCCTGAAGTGTCATCAGCATGTATGCTTTGATGTGCGAAGGTGTCAACACAAGGCTAGTGTCCTTTATTATAACCTGTATAACAAAACACAAAACTTTGCAATTTTACATTTCATAATTTGTAAAAGCACAGGATTTGAAGACAGATCACACTGATGTGTATATCCTGAAATTAACAGAAGTGGATGCAGATAATGTGCCCCAGGGTGCCTTGGGTAACTGCCCATCTACTCTACAGGGTTTTGTAATAATAGAAGGAAAGAAAGTTATGAATTACTTGGAGTACTGAGGAATACTATCACGTGATTGCAGATATCCACATTTGCAGCATTTAAGCAACTACTTTGTGGATAGAATTCTTTCCTTAATAACTTCTGCAAAAACTTAACATCTTTGACTATTGATTTTCTGAGAGTCATGCCCATTTTTTCCCCATGTCCCTTCTTCAACCCTTGTGACTTTCCCCCATGACATCTGAGTTGGACAATACAATTAATGGTTAATATACATCAAGTTCATTACACTGTCTGGAAGGGTGGAATTAAAAGAATGGATAATCAGCCTTACCTCCAAATCTGTTTCCATAAAATCAAACACTAGACTAATGTTGGATTTGTGTCCAAATGCATCAAGAAGCTGGAAGAAAAGTGCATTCGGGGTTATTTAAGTGTACCTTAATGGAGGAAGGTTATCAGTTTAGAGGCTCAAAACTAAGTGTCCTGAGTCCCCCTTTGGTGGGAGAAGGGTGGGGTATAAATATAAGAAATAAAATAGGAGGCGCCCTCTTCTTTCTGTGGTCCCTGCTAAGGTTAGCAGGTAAAAGTGGTAGCAAATCAAACCATAGTAAGAAACTAGATATAATAATCTCTTAAATGATATCCAGTGCCTCAGACTGATGCTAGGTTCAGACTATGCTGGAATCTATACTCCCTGAAGCATGGTGATTTTCCAATAATATCAGGTACTGGATGAAATAGGGATGGTAATAAACATACTACCAAAAAAGCAAAAAAAAATCATTTTTTCTATCACTCTACCTTAGTTCAGACATGAAGAGAAAAATAGAAAATATAGAGAAGATGTCTGAGGGAATAAAATGTAGGTATGACACTATGCTCCCATCTTTGGAACCCTCTGTATCACAAAAATAGTAAGAGTGAGGTGGTCAAAATGAAACATGCAACACTGTAAACCATGCTTTTCTCATATCTTTAAAAGCACAAACAATTATTTGAGTGCCTAAATTTATTAATGTAAACCACAGTGTGATGTGAAGTCTAATTTCAGTCCATTTTGGCCCAAGAAATGAGCAAAGGCAAAATAATACGAAGATTTGATTCACATATTACACCAAGCGAATATCAGCTTATCCTTTCACTTTCTGTACATCACTAAGCTGTCATAAAACATTTGGGGGGGGGGTGTTATTTAATTAGCATTCATTTTATACGTGCAAGGCTAAGAGTGATCAACTGCAATTCTTGTAACTGTGCTCCTTTCTCTTATAATTATTTATAAACAACTACATCCATAAATGTACACCGAACAGCAAAAAACAAAAACGACAGATTCCAAACAGAACTTCATACTTACCCCAATAATATTTGGATGACTAAGTTCCTGCAACAGTTTTATTTCTCTGAGGGCTGTTCTGTTTATACCTGATTTGGGGGAAACGGGGGAAACAATGTTAAATCGCCCTCAGTATTATGTTAAGCTACCTTAAAGGTCTCAAAGGTATCCTAGATGAAAAGAAACAGATGGTGTTGTCTTTGTCTCAGTGATTTATCACAATCCCATACTAGCTTTAAGTCCATGAGGTAATGGCTTCAAACCTTGAAGTCTCTTAACAGATGTCTATAGCTTAGGAAATTTTTTCCAACTCAGCAGCTTGAAATACCATTAAGGGGCTCAATTGCCAGTCCTTCTAAACATTGTCAAGTTCATCTCTGGCACATAGTTATGATTTTAAAAGACGCAAAACCAGGGCTGAGTCTAAAAAGAGTCAAGGGGATATAATACTGAGTGGCATTGCCCAAAGGGTCTGATATGATAGACCCATGTTTTACAATGTTCATGAAGACTAAGGGGTTCTTTCTTTTTCTATCCACCCTTCCTTTCATAAATACTTCCAGACATATCCATAGGGATTTCCATTCACATCCACAGAGATTCAAATGGGTTAAGTAACATGAGCATTCTAGGCCACTGTATTTCCCATTCCTTTTGTTCTCAGTTAGAGATATGGTGTCTGTCATACATTCTGTAATTTTATATTTTCCCCTCAAACAGTGCTTTCACCACTAATAATATAAATGAAAATTTTGACATTTATCTAAAAACAAATTGAATCTTACTGCTGAGATGTGCAAAAATGAAAAACAATATATAACATAACGTAAAATAAAAATAAATTATATGGCTAATTATTGACCGAAGGCCAAAATATAAAAAAGGCTATTCTCATCTTGTCAATTTTCTGAGAGAAGAGAAACAAATTCATTTGGCACCAGAAGAATGATATTGCTATGACTAGCTGGACTGAACCACAGCTTTTGGACTTTCATTCAGTCCATTATCATTGGCAGGTACCACTTCAGCACACCCATCATCCATTTGCTGAAGGTGAAAAAATGACATTGAATTTCATTCAATTCAGTGTGTTTGTGCAGATATTAAACACCATGGGAAATAACTACAAATCCTGCAGAACCGTAAACCAGCAAATTCAAGCAACAAAAGCTTATTAGGCCCAAACATTTTGATGCTACATTTTTCCCTTAGAAAATTTGTTCAAAGTGGTCTGTTTACATTTGTGTTATTCCAGATACTTACCATCTTTTGCTTCTGATCTATGGCCAAGTTTGATCTAAAAGATATTATTAATTAATTAATTAATTAATTACCATTAGGTTATAGGTAAAAACAGACAGATAGCCCAGTCCTATGCATTGTTACTTAGGGTTTACCAATCAACTTTATCTAGAAAATGTTTAGGACTGCACAAGTGCCAAAAAAACCTTAAACATATTTACAATATTCAATATAACCATGAATCACAATTTAATTCTCTGACAATTTGATTAAATTGTTATTTCTCGTTATTGGGAAAGTATGGCATATACAGAAAGAAGGATGTGGTTTAATGTATTGTCGAAGGATTTCGTGGCCAGAATCACTGGCTTGTTGTAGGTTATTTTTTCGGGCTATATGTGACCTTACTACCTCTGAGGATGCTTGCCATAAATGCAGGCGAAACGTCAGGAGAGAATGCCTCTAGAACATGGCCATATAGCCCGAAAAAACCTACAACAACCCAAAGGATGTGGTTCTTTGTATTTACTTTCAAACATGCATTCAGTCAACAAATCACAATAAGAAAAATGCTCTGAAGTGGGTTTCCAAGCCACAGTTCATGTCTAATATTGCTGAAACCCACTGTTATCTTTGGAAAACAACTTCCCGGAGATAGGATGCCACATGTCGCAAAAATAGAAACAAACAAGCAAGTCTGAATTCGGTTTATACATTTATTTGGACAATCAGACCATGGCTTGGTTTTTAAACTGTGGTCAACTCAAACTACGATTAGCACAAATCATGATTCTGTGCAATGTCAGAACAGAAGCAAAGCAGCATACTCACCTTTTTAATAGCAACAATCTGGTTTGTATTCTTGTCTTTTGCTTTATAAACAGTAGCGAACTAAGAGAAAGAGAGAGAAATACACACTTCTAATTATATAGCAGTGCAGTGTTCTATCATTGCTAGGACAAAGTTGTTTTAACCAATGCCTTTAATAATGAAGAATGGGATGTATGGATGTCCCACATGACAAGCCACCCGTATGTTACACATTTCCTATCTACAAGGGCTTTCTATATAGCAAATTCAATAGGAATCTTACAATCTTTGCACAAGAATCTGAACTACATCATGTTCAACTTATCAGTAGAAAACAGGAAGCAAGAATTCAGAAAGAAAGCACCTCTAGCAGTGGTTCCCAATCTTTTTTTTTTACCAGGGACCACACTGACCAGGGACCCTCTCCAACATTAGTACCAAAAGGATTACCAATCTGTTTTTTTGTGAACTTTAGATTTGGTTTGGTTATTTGGGGTGCTGATTCAGTAAATTGCATTGGATAGACCACATCAGCTCGTGTTTCTGATACAGAACATATGCCATCCAGTAGTTGCCATCTGTTTGCCCACAGAAAACCATATTTAATAATCTACAGCTGATGTGGTAGTAGAAATATTTCTTGGGTAGTCAGCCTCTCCCTTCCTGACATCCCTGTTGCCTCAGCACTATAAGAGGGTTTCGTGAGATCAGGTGCTCTCGTTGCCGCGTAGTTTCGGGGCAATGTTGTAGTAATGGTGAGGCTGTGGACCATATTTTCATTTTTGGGGACCACAGGTTGGGAACCAATGATTATACCAAGAAAATGTCAATATAAAATTGATAGATTACAATTGGTTGGATAGGTTTGCTGTCAGAAATCATTATTTAAGGCTTTTAAAGAAGAATATTGTTCTGGCTGCGACAAGATGTGCTGAGCAAAGTTTGTGTACTTTAATCATTTTAAAATTATTTTTAATGACTTTAACTATTTATTTTTAATATTATGTTGAATAATAGCAATGTATAAATATGAGAGGGGAAGTCATAGGGAGGAGGGAGCAAGCTTGTTTTCTGCTGCCCTGGAGACTAGGATGCGGAACAATGGCTTCAAACTACAGGAAAAGAAATTCCACCTGAACATTAGGAAGAACTTCCTAACTGTTAGAGCTGTTCAGCAGTGGAACTCTCTGCCCCAGAGTGTGGTGAAGCCCCCTTCTTTGGAGTCTTTTAAACAGAGGCTGGATGGCCATCTGTTGGGGTGCTCTGAATGCGATTTTCCTGCTTCTTGGCAGGGGATTGGACTGGATGGCCCATGAGGTCTCTTCCAAGTCTACGATTCTATGAATTCTGTTTTAAGGTTTATATATTTTTGGTTTCAAATTGTACATTGTCTTGCTTTTAGCATTTTTAGCTGCTTTGAGCCTGTCTTAAGAGAGAGAAAGTGGGATATAAATATCCTAACAATAACATGATTCTGTTTTAAACAATGACCGTTTTTTTGTTTTGTTTTTTTAAAATTATTATTATTATATTATAATAATAATATTATTATTATTACTACCCTGCTTTATCTTTCCCAATGCGGCTTGATATAAAAGCACCAGCATACAATTTCAAATATACAAATATGTAAACATTTAAACAGGATTAAATATAAACAGTATTTTTAAAAAAGGATTAAAGCATATTCAAAGTTAGCTGTCAAATCTCTCCCTGCAGGTCATTCCTGTCTGTATGTTTTGAATTATTTTTTTGTGTGCTTTGAATTGTATTGTCTTTTTAAATTGTGAGCTTTGAGTCACAATTTGGAGGAGGAAGCAGGAATAAATACGTCATTCTCATCATCATACTGTCAACTATATATGTTTTAAATGTGTTTTAAATTAGAGAAAAGTGTTCCAATTATTTTATTCAATATATTATAATTTCTCACCTGCTATTTTGAGTTATTTTTATAAGTATATTTTGATGTTTTCTATTTTATTGTTTATTATTTGAAGTGCTTGAATATGTATGTTTTTAAGGCATTGAATGTTTGCCGATTCTTTGTTGTACACCGCCCTGAGTCCCTTTTGGGAGATAGGGTGCTATAGAAATAAAGTATTATGTCATCAGCTGGGGACTCTTCCCCCCAGCACCAACTGCCACTCTGGGCCAGAGTGAAGAGAGAGGGGGGCAGAAGACAGTTCAACCTTGTCTCCTGTGCTATGCTAATATTATAATATAATTTAATGTAATATATTGTATACACATATAATATTTATAATATTATAATGTAATGCAACACAATGCTAATAATAATATATTATAATTATATATTTATAATATTATAGTGTAATGCAATATAATGCTAATAATAATAATAATAATATCATATTATAATTATATATTTATATTACATGTAATATTACTAATATTACAATATTATGGTGTAGTAAAAGGTTAAAGGTAGTCCCCTGACATTAAGTCCAGTCATGTCTGACTCTGGGGTGTGGTGCTCATCTCCATTTCTAAGCCGAAGAGCCAGCGTTGTCCGTAGACACCTCCAAGGTCATGTGGCCAGCATGACCACATGGAGCTCCGTTACCTTCCCGCCGAAGCGGTACCTATTGATCTACTCACATTTGCATGTTTTCGAACTGCTAGGTTGGCAGAAGCTAGTGCTGACAGCGGAAGCTCACGCCGCTCCCTGGAATCGAACCTGCGACCTTTTGGTCAACAAGCTCAGCAGCTCAGTGCTTTAACCCACTGCGCCACCATGGTGTAGTACAATATAGTAATATTCAATACTGATATTATACTATGCTAATAATATAATATATTGTATGTATATATCTTGTAAGCCGCTCTGAGTCCCCTTTGGGGTGAGAAGGGCGGCATATAAATGTCATAAATAAATAATAATAATAATTCACAAAGGGTTTGCGAGGGAGGAAATTGGCACATGTATTGCTGTAGGTTTTTCCGGGCTATACGGCCATGTTCTAGAGGCATTTTCCTGACGTTTCGCCTGCATCTATGGCAAGCATCCCCAGAGGTAGTGAGGATGCTTGCCATAGATGCAGGCGAAACGTCAGGAGAAAATTGCCTCTAGAACATGGCCATATAGCCCGGAAAAACCTACAACCCAGTGATTCCGGCCATGAAAGCCTTCGACAATACATTATTTATTGTCGAAGGCTTTCATGGCTGGAATCACTCAGTTCTTGTGGGTTTTTTCGGGCTATAGGGCCATGTTCTAGAGGCATTTCTCCTGACGTTTCGCCTGCATCTATGGCAAGCATCCTCAGAGGTGAGGTCTGAGGATGCTTGCCATAGATGCAGGCGAAACGTCAGGAGAAATGCCTCTAGAACATGGCCATATAGCCCGAAAAAACCCACAAGAACTGGATTATTATTATTATTATTATTATTATTATTATTATAATCCCCACTAGAAAATGCATCTTGTGAGCACGATTAAAATCCAAATCCTTGGAAAAGTTTTTTTTTTTTTTTGGAACTATACAAATACAATATAATACTACTAATAATAATACAATATAATAATAACAATGTAATATAGTAATACTAAGTTATTAAGTATAATTACTACTGATAATATATAATAATGCACTATTTTATTATTGTATATTTTAAGTTGTAATGTTTTTGATTGTGAAGTAATACTAAGTTATTAAGTATAATTACTACTGATAATATATAATAATAATGCACTATTTTATTATTGTATATTTTAATTTTAATGTTTTTGATTGTGAGCCTCTGTATGTAAAAATAAAGCGGGATATAAATAGATAAATAAAACTACAAATCCCAGAACCCTCCAACCATTGCAGGCCTGTGGATTCTGGAGGTTCTACTTTTTTAAAGGGCCCGCTTCGCCATGCTTTGATGAAATGGCTGCGTCCTGGAGACATTGAGCACATTCCCATTTTCCCCTTTTCTTCCAGTTCAAGGGCCACTCACCTGCCCTTCCCCCAGGAAGTCCAGCTTCTCGTAGCGCTTGGCCCGAGCCCGCGCCTCCATCCCGGGGGGAGCCGAAGGAAGGCAGGCAGGACGGTTGAAGCACAACGAAGCCACGCCCCCTCCGGCCTAGCAGGCCTCTGCTTCCGGGTTCCGCCAGGCAGGACCCCGCCTCTCGCCCCGCCCCTTGGCTCGTGCGCGACGTCGATTGGTTGCTGCGTCAAGGTTGTTTCTAAGGCCTCCGTCGCCCCTTAGCAACAGCTTCCAATATAAATAAATTAGAGTCCCTCATTCATTTCAGAGTGACATAGATGGAGGCAAGTGAATGGGACTTGTAGACCAGGCCTTGGGTCCTCCAGGTGTTTTGGACTTCAACCCCCACAATTCCTAACAGCCTACCGGATATGGCTTTCAATGAGAGATGCTGCATTATCACAGGGTGTCTGCGCCCTACACCACTGGAGAAATTGCACTGCTTAGCCAGTATTGGACCACCTGACATCCCTTGGGAAGTAGCATCCAATAGTGAAAGGACCATGGCATTGACATCTCCAGCCCATATCCTGTTCAGTTATCAGCCAGCACAACATCACCTTAAATCAATAAATAGTTTTCTAAGATCAACAGAGTAGAGACATCACACTGGAAACAAAGATCCGCATAGTCAAAGCAATGGTATTCCCCATAGTCACCTACGGATGTGAGAGCTGGACCATAGGGAAGGCTGAGCGAGGGAAGATAGATGCTCTTGAACTGTGGTGCTGGAGGAAAGTGCTGAGAGTGCCTTGGACTGCGAGAAGATCCAACCAGTCCATCCTCCAGGAAATAAAGCCGGACTGCTCACTGGAGGGAAGGATAGTATAGGCCAAGATGAAGTACTTTGGCCACATCATGAGAAGAAAGGAAAGCTTAGAGAAGACAATGATGCTGGGGAAAATGGAAGGAAAAAGGAAGAGGGGCGGACCAAGGGCAAAATGGATGGATGGCATCCTTGAAGTGACTGGATTGACCTTGAAGGAGCTGGGGGTGGTGACGACCGACAGGGAGATCTGACGTGGACTGGTCCATGAAGTTGACGCCGGACTCGATATCAAAGTCAATAAAAGTTGGAAACGACTGTTTGAATGAACAACACAGAGATACTCGCAAGAACACCTCAGCAAGCAAGAGTTCAAAAGTGGCAGGCTAAAACCCAGCACCTGAATCAGTGATTGATACCAAATGAGAAACTCCCTCCTGGGCACACAGAAGACTGGCCAACTTGGAAGGTGCTGAACAAACTGTACTCTGGCACCATGAGATGCAGAGCCAACCTTAAGAAATGGAGTCCACAACATGCGAGTGCGGAGAAATGAAAACCACAGACCACCTGCTGCAATGCAACCTGATCCCTGCCATAAGCACAATGGAGGACCTTCTTATAGCAACATGAGAGGCACTCCAAGTAGCCAGCTGCTGGTCAAAGGACATTTAGTATAATGGCAAGTTTTCAAACTTTGTGGGTTTTGTTTTGTTTGCTTGCTTTTTAAATCACAATGGTACTCTTGGTTYGCTCCTGATACAATAAATAAAAAACTGGCTGTTAGGAATTGTGGGAGTTGAAGTCCAAAACACCGGGGGGGGGGGGGCGGGAGTTTGCCCAGGCCTATGTTAGATCATTTACTACACTCAATGTTTGCATATTGGTATATTTTAAATTATATGCTAATGCTTTAATGTTAAGAGACTTTGAGTCTCCTTTGGGAGAGACAAAGCGGGGTATAAAAATAACAATAATAGTAATCATAATTTTACACAAGCAATTCAGACTATCTCCTCTGGTAGCTGGAAAATCACTTCATGTATAAGTGTAAACAACATGGCTGAACATATTTATTGGATAATGCCTTTATTTATAAAATTGTATTGCTGGGGGAGGATGGGGTTGTAGTACTCACACGCTTTGCATCAAGACATTTCAAAGCATGCAGCAGAGAGACCTTCCAGACAGACCCTACATCTCAGGATCTGCTGTGCACTCGTACAGGACGAGGCAGCATAACTTCCTTTTTTAAAATGCGTGCCATTCAGTCGGTTGAAGACGTAACGGAGTGCTAGTGGTCTCGTTCGAGAGGCGGGAGTATAAAGTTTTGTCCTGACACAGTTCAGTTGCCATCATACGTTGGAACAGTGAGGAGCCTGCTTTTGCCGTTGAGGCCTACTTTTCAAGCGGATTTGGAGTGGCCGGCCCACTCTCCAGATTTGGCCCCTTGTGATTTTTTTTCTATGGGGTTTTTTGAAATCCCGTGTTTATGTGAACCATCCAAGGACCCTACAAGATTTGAAGACCAACATCCAGGAAAAAATTACCAACATAACGCCTGCTATGCTGGCAAGAGTCATGACAAACGCCAGAAATCAGTTTACTCAGTGTATGGAGAATGGGAGATGTCACCCACCTAATTTGATCTTCAAAACTACGTAAACAAAACTTTAGGTATGCGCCTACATTATATATAAAAAATAAAACAATTTCTGATTCATACAATGGGTTTTATTAAGTTTTGAAAAAAGGAAGTTATGCTGCCTCACCCTGTATAATCCAGTTTAAAGCAGAAAACCTGGGATCAGATCCTGGGATATAGGGCCTGTCTGGAAGAGTCCAGAGTTAGAAAAGAGAACAGATGAAGTGGGAGGCAGCACTAAAAGGACTAAACATGTAGAATAATCACAGGATGTCTTAAATCTACACCTGTTGATAGACTCTATAAGTTAGCTGGCATTGCCTGCCCTATGTGTGACGGGAAGTTGCTGCCAACTGTGAGAGAAATAAGGTTAACACTGTGAAAGCCACCCACTGCATGGCTAACATAAGAAACACCACTCCTCTTAATGTTCCCCCAGTGACAGTAAGAGTATGCCTCTGGGTAGCTAAACCAGGAAATCCCAACTGGATGTCCCCCACGAGGGACTGCCTCCAGGGGCAAACCAAGAATGGGCAACTTGGACGTTCCTAAATAGGCCCAGGAGTGGTGTTCGGAGATCAAACAACAACCTGGCTAGATGGCACTACCCTAGAATAATCCTTGTGCGACTATGAAGCAGAACAAACCACCCAGCATCTGTATGCTTGCCCCAAATGCCCTGGCTCATGAACAGAGGAAGAACTGTTTAAAGCTACAGACAATGTGGTTGCTGTTGCCTGTTTTTAGACTGAAATTATTTAGCCACTTGTGTTCCCTCTATTTTATACGTTTTATATCTGATTATTTATGCAATGCTTTTGACACAAAATAAAGCACTAAAGGTTATTGCTACTCCTTAGAGCTTCCAGGAGAGGGAATTCTCTCCTTTTTCCCCATAAAAAGAGCAGTTATAGGTGTATAAAATGGTCACAGCTGGAAAACAAGACTTGAGAGATTGCATGTAGCTGTGCCAAACACAGGTCCCTTTTACACTGCCATATAATCCAGATTATCTGCTTTGAACTATATTATAGAAATCTGCACTGCCATATAATCTAGTTCAAAGCAGTTAATCTGGATTTTATATGGCAGTATAGAAGGAGCCACAATCGGGTATAAGTTTCTAGTCTTTTACAGTGATCATTTTATACAAAATATTTTACTGCTTCTGACAACCTTAAGTCAGAACATTTCTGTCTTCACCCCAAGCCCAGAAGCCATTCACAAGATCCCTTACAAGAATGGAAGGGACTGGGGGACAGAAAATGTTCATGCCTTGTTTAGAATGGTAAAATTCATACTGTGCCATCAAATGCTTTTTTTTTCACAACTAAAAGTAATAAATGTTATTGAAAAATATGGAAAATTTTATGATGAACGTCTGTCCATAATATATTCTACTTTCACCAAGAAAGAACAAATTGTGGGTTCCTTACTGCCAAACAAAAATTACAAAAACATCAAGATGGAGTATAATGAAAAAAATATTTTAATGGTGTTGTTATATAAAGTGGAGTCAGATGGTTACTCGAATCAGAATGGTCTTCTGATTTAGGACACAGCCACTTTCCGAAGTGTCTCATAAAAGGCCTTTAATAATGAGTTTACAATACTCAGATAGTAAGGAACGCCTTTACAGCAAGTTTGTTGCTCAGCAGTAACTAACTGCATATTCTTCTGTGTTATTCTGGACCTCCCCTCTGCAAGAAAAAAAAAAGATTGATATTAGTTCATGTGCTGTATTGAGGGAGGGCTTCTGAAGCTTTTGCTTTCATTTTCATTAGGTCATGGTCTCACTGAGACAAAACAAGAAGCCACAGTCAATGCAAACTCTCTACAATTTCACTCGGGGAAAGAAAATCCATGCTTGCACAACTTGAGTACTTCATCTGTGAAATCCGTTAACT